ATACCTATTTGGCAAGGGCTTAGGAACTAAACTATTGTGCAGACGTCTGTCATGTTACAAAAGACCTCCACATTGAACTGCTGTGCATGTCCATAGAAATATGAAGAGTTACGCGTTCATGTTATGTCTGCATTTGCGAAATAAATTCATTACAATAGTGACAGGTATGTTTTCTTTCTGTAACATTAGTTTTGATTTGCCATGTATTTGAAAAACAGCTCAAAATTAAACAGCTAAGTTGAAGAGTAGACAGATGGAATGTGTGCTCAACGAAGCATTTATATAACCCTGCATGAACTATTAAATTTATTGGAAATAGATTATGTAAGTCCAGAATTATTGTAACGATATAAAAGGTTGTTTCGAGAATATTCAATGATACGCGTGAGCTCCGTTATCTATGTAGGCTGTTTGAAATTCTTCTGATCTAACAAAGAAAAAGATATTTTATCACCAAAATTACCTTTATTTTTCGACACAGTCTCATTGCAAGTCTATACATTTCTTCCAGCGATGCTCCCATCCTTTTAACCAAATAATATGTGGAATCGTTCTCTGTAATGTCTTCTCATTTGACTAAACTCTTTGTCCTCCAAGTGCTTCTTTTAGCTTAGGAAACAAAAAAAAGTCACTTGGTGCCGCATCTGGCGAGTGGGGCAGGTGCTTAAGCAGTTCAAATCGCAATTCATAGATTTTCGCTGTTGCAACCATTGAGGTGTAAGATGGAGCACTGTCTTGGTGAAACAATTTTTTTTTTTTTTTCTTTTGGAAATGTGACCGTTTTTCTGTAATTTCTGCCTTCAGCCTGTCAATTAATGTTGCATAGTATGGTCTGGTAATGGTTTTCCCTTTTCAAGATAATCTATTGAGGCAATCCCATGGCTGTTCCAGAAAAATGTTGTCATCACTTTCCCAGAAAAAGGAACAGTTTTTGCCCTTTTTGGAGCCGATTCTCCCTTTGTAGTCAACTGTTTTGATTCTGTTTTTGTTTCTGGGCTGTAATGATGAATCCAAGTTTTATCTACAGTGATTTATAATTAAAAAAATCTAATTTATTGTGCCAACAGAACAGTGCAATCGTTTATTTGGACATGTTCTCGGTCCAAAGTGAGGAAACATGGCACCCAATGTGCAGCCAGCTTGCACATATCTAGATCTTGGTTCAATATGTGGCAAACACGTTCTTTGGACATGCTAACAGCCTCTGTTATCTCTCTAACCTTGATTCGATGGTGATTTTAGCAATGTTTTCTTCAGTGGTTGTAGTTTTTGGGCCATCCCGAACATTCATCGTCATCTAAGCTAGTATGTCCATGCTTAAATTTAGCTGCTCAAAATTTCACAGTAGTAAATGATGGTGCAGGGTACCCATACACTGTCTCCAACTTTTCTTTAACCTGAATAGGTGTATTACCATTCAAAAACAGATGTTTAATGACAGCATGATACTCGATTTTTTCCATTTTTGCAAAAACAGTCACATCAAAAATTCTCAAACAAAAAATTCTCTTTCAAAATAGCTGAAATTTTTATTGGTAATTATCAAGCGATGTCCAAACAAGTAACCCCACTTCGGTTGATTTGAATTGCCATCTACATATTGAGGTCGGAAACTTTTCAGACAGCCCTCATATGTCCAAAATTACCAGGAGAATTCTAGAGATAGTTTCAAGAATTTTCAATGATCGCACGAACTTCATTATCAATGTCCAAAATTATCAGGATGATTCAAGAGATAGTTTCGAGAATTTTCAATGATGCACAGTATACTGATTACTAAAATATTCTGCCACATTCCGTTAGATGTCACACTGAAATACTTTATCAGTCAGTGCTGGTATAAGAGTTTGGTTTATGAGATTACGGTAAAGCCTTGAGGGTTATCTGCCTAAGGAGAGGAATGTATTTGTTGAGGACTTTTTAATGGAAATTGGTTCATATACACGTTAAACATTGGAAAACCACGAAAACGCCCATGCAGCCTGCCCGTTTGCGGGATTCAAACCTCGGACCGAATTAAAAGTGTTCAGTGACTTTACCGCTCGCCCACTGGTGGGCGGCTGTCATGAGAGATACTGATTATTCAAATACCACTGAACATGCCATCATATTCATTTTTGGTGAATTCTTCTATGCTGGGCATCACTAAAAGTAGTTATTTTAAAGTTTTGGAAAAAAATGTTTATATACTTCTGATTCATTTTACTTTTACTAAAATAACACAACAATAATTATAAAAGGAGAGGTAAAAAGGAAATCAGAAGAAAATATTTGGTTTCTCTACCTGAAGAAAAAATGCTTAGTTGCCTAGTACAAGAGTTACAAATTTTTATTTTCTTGGGACTTAACTTTTCTAAACACAAAACAGTAGATAGTATATGACTATTTTACATATTTATATTTATATTAAATATTTATATGTAATATATATTACATATTATATAAACGTTTATATATTATAAATTATAAAATGATGCACAGTATACTGTGCATATATCTCAAATTATTATTACATATTATATATTATTACATTATATAAACGTTTTTATTATTATTACATATTATATAAACGTTTATATATTATAAATGCTCTATATTACATATTTATATGTAATCATGTTATTTACTTCAAAGGTTCTTTATATTCAAAACCTGTATCATTATTTTTGAAACAAAAAATTTGGACTTGTGGCTCTTGAACTTTCATAAAATCTATCATGCGGCTCCCATCATCTTGAAGTTTGGCTATCCCTGACATATAGTATTATAATAATGATTTACAATAAGTTACGTCAATATGCTGTAAATTTAACTTGAAAAATAATATCCTAAAATTACCATTTGCAAAATACTGAACAATGACTCTAATAATAATAATAAAACATTAAACCTTATATTAATTTTAATCTATTTATATGAATTAAATCTTGCAAATTTATAATCATTCCCTACATTTTGCATCTTAAAACATAAATCTATGATTTTGTCTTGAAATATGTCTTCCTGATATAATGTTTATTACCCAACTTTTTGTTTTGCTACATTAACATTCTATAATTATATGGCAAAGCTGATGAAATATTGTGAGAAATTATTATGATCAATGATTAATTGAGCTATGTAGAAGTTAGACCACACTCTTTTCTCTGAAACTTTAGGTAGTACATCATATTTAAATCTTCTGTTTATTGCCAAACACAGTTAAACTGGTGAAGAAACCCAATAAATGACAATGAAATGGTAAGTTTTTAACAAATGTCTTGAAAGGAAGCCATGAAAAGAATAAAGTAATTATTAAGTGTTTCCTAACTAATTATTTTTTAATCAATAATTTATTTTAATTATTTTTTTCAGCAAAACAAAATGGAGGTTCCTTAAACAGCAAATTTATCAAGAATTTCAGAATCATTTATTTAGAGTTTTCAATGGATTACAAGATAGATTTACTTTACATAGTACATCTTTGAAAGAGACAATACTGCAAGTGCATTTAATTCAGGTTCAGATGCTGTATTTCTTGACTATTACTTTAACTGTTTAAAATTAGAAAAATTTCTTTCTGCAGTGGCAATAAAATGAGTAAAAAGTTAATATTTTAAAAGAACGCAAATATTTTCAATTTCAAATGCATATCAAAACAATTTCATCATAATCTTTTTTCCTTTATTTTTTGGCAACAGGAAGCATTAATACTTTTTTAAATACACTTTTGTTCTTTTAATTTATGAGATCAGAGTCTTAAATTATGGCAGATAAGACATGGGCTACCAGATAGATAATCAGGTCTTGGCTAATCATTATATTATTTGAGATGGCTCTAATTTATTGCTAACTTAGTTAAAGTCATATACAAATTTAATTAACATTATTTAGTTATTTGAGATCGAATGCCTGATCCAATTTCTTGTCACATGAAATTCAATTGTTGGTCCAATTAATTTGCATATTTAATACTACTGATTGGATTTTATAGCTTTTTTGAGATATATTTCTGATTACAAAGCACTTCAAAGGTAAAGGATAAATCTTTGTAAAGGCTTTGAAGTGAAACTGGCTTATATTTACATTTCTGATATGTAAAAAACCACAAATACCCTACACAACTAACCTGTTACTCTATTCGGAATAGAATTTAGGATGAACTACTGGTGTTCTGCACCTTTGGTTACTTGAACTCTGGCAGGTAACAAATCAGAACTTGTTTTGGAAATCAAAGTGACAAGTACCTCCTAAGAACTTGAAATACACATCAAAACCTTTGAATGTTTATTTCACTAACATAAAGCATATATATAGAGCTCATTCAGCTCTTAATTTCTTTAGTTCATCTTCTCTTATTTTCTAGTCTCATCAAAGGCGTGTTATGAGAATTTATCCTTAAAATGACTGGTAAATAATCAGCAGTCTTCAGGTTAAGAAAGACTAAAAGAGCTTTTAGATTATGAAAGAGTGGTAAATGCTCAGCAGTCATCTAGATATTTCTATAGGTGAGAAATTATATGAAAATTCTGATGACATGAGTGATTCAGAAATCCATACTGAACCCAAAAATACAATTGTAGGAAGGGATTTGGGAAAAGGTTAAGTCTTGTATTTGAACTTACATTCATCAGCCTAGTTCTGTCAACAACAAAGAATTTTTAAAGTTTATAAATGGCGCTTAAATATTTAAAAGCACCTCTCACATAGCTTCTTTGAACATTTTTAGCAAATTTAGGAACAGACCACTATGCTGCATGGGAGTATTAATATACCTTATTAAAAATCACAGGTAAAACTTTCATTTAAGCAAAAAATTTTTTAAATATTTTAATTGTATATTTAACAGAATAGTTTAATGCTGAGTTAATGCATTACTTAATAAAATATATTAAAATTATTAATATATATAGTACATTAAGCTAAATATTATTAAGCATATAAGCATATATTATTAAGCCTATTAATACTATTAATTTTATTTAATTAAAAACATGGATTTTATTTTAAGCAACAAGTACCAATTTCAATTTCTCTAGATCCTTTATCTTTCCAGACTTCTTTCTTTAGCTGTTCCATCTGCTCTCTGGCAAAACCAAGAGTTCCTATTTCATGGTATAATCGTCTTGGAATGCTTGTAGGTATAAGGCCTTTACGCTCATCATCAATTTCTTCATCCATCACATCAACAAATTTGCGTCGCTCACGTATGACTAACTGCATTTCATGATAAATTTAAATATTTAAATAATTGCATTGTAAGCTAATTGAATAAGTAAGATAATTATGCCACAAATAAAAATATAAATATCACTTCTCACAATTTATTTAAAAAAAAAGCTTAAACTCACTGTGCTGTCTCCCCAGTGCTGATCCCTTAAATTAGCAGCTAGCGAAGGGCTGATAGATGCACCAACTCTTAGATACTGTCGAAGTCGTAAAGGAAAGTCTGTATCACGTAGCTGCAAGAGATATGTGTCTGGTCCATTTTGATAACTGGGAAAAAATTAAAAAGATTACATACTTACACATAACATTTAGAAGTGCATTAACTAAAATTCTGTTCAACACTGGCAAAAAAAGATAAATTAGCTGCATATAAATATAAAATAAAGCATAATTAAATTCTAAAGAATCTGTAGACCAATACTGTAACATTGAATTTTATTACATTAACTTTAGATATAATAGAATTTTAAATAAATGTAATTGCAAGATTTCACAGCTTATTATCAATCATAGAAGTAACTGTAATATGGATTTCAAAAAACTTTTTTTTATTGTTCAGATATCCTTTTATACAATTACTGAAATCAGACATCATAAAAAATGATTTTCATTAAAAAAATATCATATGAGATATTTGACAGGCATAAAAATAGATCCCTTGATACTTTATTATTAAAATAGCCACCATGATTAACTGTGATATTTGAATTACTAACTATAAACCAATCTTACTTTATACCTCATGCAGACAGCCCACATTGAGAAGTGACAGACCATGTATTTAGATGTTGGCAGTTGCACAATGCACAAGAACCGGAAAGGCCTAGATAAACGATCATTTGACTGCAAATCATATATTCAACTTTCTTGATCCAAATTACAATGCTCACACTCAAAATATACAGACAACTCACGCTGAGAAGTGACAGATTATGTATTTAGATGGTTGGCAGTTGCACACTGCACAAGAACAACAACTGGAAAGGCCTAGATAAACAATAATTTGACTGCAAATCATATATTCAATTTTCTTGATCCAAATTACAATGCTCATACTCAAAATATAGAAAGATTATGGTTTCTACAAAATATGAGAATAAAAAAGCTACAGGCTAAGGATTAGAAATTTGCAAGAAATGAATGCAAATGCGGTTTTATTATATTTTAAATTTCTCCACAACGTTTTTGTAATTTCCATTATTTTATGCTAGATCGGTTTTTCACATTTTACACATTTTAAAAAAAAATTATGCTTGGTCATTTTTTTTCTTTTTGGCTGCCATAACATAACAATACAGATCCCTTTTGCCTTATCTCATATGAATGTAACTTGTCTTTTCTTTAATACAGCAAACATCTATTCTGCAATGAAAAACAATAACAGGATAATTTACTTACAGTTTACATGAAATGACAAGAGAATTTTTCTAAATATGAATAAGAAATTTTTGTAGAAATTTTGTCACATACACATATTGAATTATATCTTTTAGAATTATTCGTCATTAGTAAACAAAAAAAAAAAAAAAAAAAAAAAAAAAGCATAATCTGAAATATTTAAAAAAATTCTCATCTAGAAATACATGATATTTACTCAGAGACCTAACATACTGCATCTAACATGATATTTTTAGGTTATAATCAATCAGAAGTATGTCAGAGGACTACTTTAATCTTTTTCAGCAATGTGAGCGATAAAGCATTTCTAGTTGTCATAGAACTCCCGGGTAATGCAAAAGGCAATCTGCAAAATTTTCTGGAAGTAGAATCTTATAGAATCAGTTTGAAGGGTAGTTTCCAACAAGCAATATATTGCATTCCAATAATTAAAGATGATGTTGCAAGTAACTTAATAATCAGAAGAAAGGTAGAAAACTAATTTAAACTTTTATGAATGATTACAGATTTCTGCCTCTTAAGAGCTCTTAAGAGCTCTTAGAGAGCTCAAGCTACTGACTGATTATAGTAACTTAACTATGTAAAGAGAATTCTAACAAATTCTGCAGTTGACTAAGAGATGTGACAACTTCTGAATTCATGATACATTAATTCCAGTGTTTGGTAATTGAGACCTATTGTTTAAAGCATTAAGAATGTAATAAACAAAAGTTTTTAAACTGTACTCCAGAAAGTTAAAAAAAATATTTTTAATACAGAAGTTCTTTTCCATTCATATTGATTTTCTGGAAAATCACTCCTCTAACATATTTAACTAATACTTATTATGTATAACTAGAGGTGCTATGACAACAAGAAACAGCATAATATTCATAAATTGGCAGGACCACTTTAGAGTACAAAAACTTTGTCTTCAGCTATAAGAGTGCAAATAACAAAAGATAAGCCTCTGCTCAAGAGATAATAACAACAGGAAGGAAGTAAAGCTACTGGCACCATGTACTGATAAAAAATTAAAACAATTATGAAATAATTTTTTGAAAAACTAAGGGTAAAAAAGATGGATTGGAATTGGAATTGTTAACTACAACTGAAAGATTTTTTATGAATGTGAAATGCCTCTAGAAAATCTAATTCATGAATGGAAGATGCTTCTTGAATAATTTTGGCTACAGTAAAATGGAAAATTCGACTTTTTGATCAGCAGTGTTGGGCAATAGAGGATTTACACGTTACAAGTGTTTTGTTTTTTCTCAAGTAAGAATCAAGACTAAAAAAGTTGTTTTAAAATTATTCAAATTGCTAGTTAAAAATCAGTAAGAAATTCATGGTTCTGTCAAACTTTAAATGCAAGCTTCAAATTGGAGTACATAATTTTTATAAAAGTGAATTATATTTTCTTACTTCAGAAAATTGCTCCCCGACACTTTCGCTTTTGATCATATTAAAACAATGCAAACTTTTTTAAAACAATTAAACAAGAAAGAAGAATTAAAAATTAATTAAATTTTAATTCTTAATTAAAAATATTCTTATAAGATTAAAATGAAACATTAAGAATGTATGAAAAAAGAAAATTCTCTTTTTATATATGTACATATCTATTTCATGTATGTATGAATGTATGAAAAAAGAAAATTCTGTTACTTATTATTACCTTGTTAACTTAAATATTTGATTTTATACATATATGGCATGGAGAACATAATAATTTTCACATTACTTTCAGTTTCTATAAAAGAATTTCAGAAAAAAGATATAAATAAAAAATTAATTAATTAAATTATATCAATAAGAAGAAATAAATAACAAACTAAAACAACAGAACACATTTTATTTTGATTTCTGGCTGAATTTAAATTTATATATATGTGTCTGTGTGAACATGTAATATAAGTCTGTTATATTTAAAGCTTGAATAAGTTTTACAAAGGGAAGTCAAAGATAATATTAGCCACACTGCCTACCCTAATTCTATAAAATTATAAATTGCATGTAAATTTGCATCATGTTCAGATAATAATTTTATTGCAGTGTAAATTATTTAACATTTCCAGAAAATTCTATATATAATGAATATAATATGCAAAAAGAAGAGTTAAAGACAAACTTTTATTTTAACAAAACAGATCAAAATACCCTACTCTGATTATGAAAACTTTTGTGTGAGCAATCAGAAACACTGTCTTAACAGTTAATTAAAAACAAGGTTTCAAGCAATTTAGTAAAATTTTAACTATTTTGCTCTTACATAATTTAACATTTTTGTAACTTGAAACATCAAACTTAATTATAATGTATTTGCAAAATTTTTAGAAGCTAAAAAAATTTTACAAATAAATTCTACAATACTAATAATAAATAAGTTATGCTATTTTGTGAGCTTTTATTAAGTAGGCATTTGTGAAGTGGGCCTTTATCATGCTATTTTCTAAGTAGCCACTGGTTATTCATTGTTTACTATGTTATATCTAGTTGACCATTTACTCCCAGGTGAATGAAAGATCAGTTAAATAGATAACAATCTTGCTTAATTGCATTACACCTTTTTTAAAACTGTGAGAAAATACCGAAGATATATTAATACAACATATGATGGATGATTTCAGCCTATATGCTGCATTGTAAATTAAAGGTTGCTCAAGTATAGCCTTAGCGAAATGAAGGTAAGAGCCATTAGGGTTTGGTAAGAAATAACCTACTCTTTTTTAAATTTTTTTATTATTTAATAGAAAATAACATGATATGAAATTTTGCTTGTAATTGCAGTTTAAAACCTTATCTTACTTTTTCTTTAGTTCTCAAATTATTTCAGCAAAATATTTAGCTGGAATTTCAAATATACTTGAAATTTGAACAACTTAAAAATGTTCCCAAACATGATTTGGAAATATTTCTTAACTCTTTTCAAGTTGTCCATTATTAATGTAATTTTAAAATAATCCACCATTTTAAAGTGGATAATCCACTATTTTAGCAATAAATTTCAGACGTGAAAAGTATGCAAAATTCTTTTTGTAATTGCACCTTTTTAACAAAGTTTTAATAAAATAATTAGACATACTTGTTATATAAAAGCAAAAGCATTGTTTAAAAATAAAACTACTGAGCTATTTTGAATAAGTTAAATTATTAGATATCTTAAAATGTATGCAAAAGTAATACTTTTCATTTTAACATTCATATGGCTGAAAATGGATTTAACCCTTACAACAATTTAAATGATGAAAGATTCTGAATTTGCAAAAAAGGGGATTTAAGATTAAAGCTTACATACCATGAGCGCAGCATAGAAAGAAAATTAATCTTGCACATTAAAAATAAATTTTAATTCTATGATACTTTTTATATTGCTAAATTAATTTTTTTAAATAGTTTATTTTTCACTATCATGCCTATTAATATAAAAAAAATTTTGTGAAATAAATTAAAAATATATTTAGAAATGATACTTTACTGGAGGATGTCTGTGGATTTTTATGGGTGCAACTATACATTTATGGGGATGAAAAATTCCGAAATTAGTGCAGTAAAGGCTTTAGAATACAGAATACAAATGCAAAATGGGAAACAGCTCATTATCGGTTAACAAAGGAGAAAATGGAAGAATGTAGATTGTATTTTTAAAATAAAATACTTTTCTCTGAATTATTCACAAACAAAAAGCATGCAGTTCCTCCCAAAAATTTAGTAGAAAACAAATTATTTCACATTTCAAAATGGGCATTAGGGATTATGATCTCCATTACATGGTGATATTATCTGATTTTGACTTATCAAGAAAGGAACAATTTACCGAAAATTTCGAGTTCAAGAAATTTAACCTTCAAGAAAGATACACATTAGTTCATAATATTATTTTCTTAATG